GTGAATCTGGAGTTCAAGGAGCGGTCAGAGCAGGAGATAGATATGGGATGGCTGAGATCGCCAAGGAATGTACACAGACCACATTCTAGGGCACCGACATTTGGTGGTTTAACACAAGTGGAGAAGCCAGCAAAGGAGGTGAGAAGGAGAAATCAATGAGGTAGAATGAAGACCAGGCAAGAACAGGGTCACTGAGGCCTGGAAAGGAAAGTGTTTCAAGAAGGAGGGAGTGTGGGCAACTGCATCAAGGCTACTGAAAAGTCATGCAAGATAAGAAGATGGGAATATCAGAACTCAGTGACTTGGAGTCACTGTGACAAGAGCAATTTCAGTGGGATGGTGGGGTTGGTTATTATTTCATTTTTCTAAATGGCAGATGTTTGTGGGTAGATGTGAAAATCTTCTAGAAAGAAGAAATTGATGATGGAGAAAATAGGGATAACTTGAAAGCCAAAAGGAGGTGGCATCCAGATCACCAGTGAAGGGTGGGCCTTAGAAGCAGATCATGTGGCTAAAGATGCAGATTAACTGGCAGATGTAATAGTGGGAATATGGAAGCAATCTGGTCTGACACTCCATGGGCCTGGAGCCAGGATGACTGAAATGTCTCCTCAATCATAACCAGTGGAAATATGCTATCATCAGGGAGAAATAGGAGGTGGAAATATGACCAGTTCAGTCATGGCTTCCAGCCCAAGTAGCAGCATTTTGCCAAGTGTGACAGACTGGTATTTCTGTCTTTAGGGGGGCTGGGGTCAAGGCACAAGGTTCAGGAGGAAACTAACAGAGAATATAAGAAGGTACCATCTGACCAATAGTGATGACCTCTGTGAATTCAGTCATGATATGAATTTAGAATATGAACATCTTTTGGACAGGAACTATATCTCATTCATCACTGTAGCCCTAAGTCTAATGACTAATTTTAAGCACATATGTTTGGCTAGGCCTGTGCTAGTCAGTGGAAACACAGATGAAAAAGGCATGTCCCTTGCCCACAGGGTCTAAAATATTCAAGAAACATTGGCTAAGCTAATTTAATCATATGTGGAGTAAAGAATTTGGCCTTGCCCAAAGAGAAATCTGGCCTTTGTCCCCCAACTCCTGGGAGGTAAGAAATCTGGCCTTTGTCCCCCTACTTTTGGAAGGAAAATTCTTGGGATTTCCTGAGCAATAGGAGTGTCCCTGTTATTTGTGGTGAGAGCCCCTCAGATCACATTTGATAATATATGCTGATGAGGTGACTCACAGTAGCCCGTGGGGCCACATGGTATTAATTTGACTTTGAGGTATGGTGATACTGGAGACCAAGTTCAAACAGGTGATCAATCAGTCGAGCATAACTGTTACATGAAAACCAATAAAAACTATGAACACCAACTCTCAGATGAGCTTCCCTGATTAGCACCATGTGTACTGTCACATAAGGATGCTGAGAGGTTAATGGGTCCTTAGGACAATGAAAGCTTCATGTTTGGAATCTCCCAGACTCTGCCCTGTGCATTCTTCCTTTGGTTCATTTTTGACCTGTATCCTTTCCTATAATACACCTGTGAGTATAACAGCTTTCAGTAAGTTATGTGAGTCCTTCCAGAGAACTCTTGGGAACTCTGAACTTTCTGTTGGTATCAGGAGTGAAGGCAGTCTTGTGGAAGACTGTACTCTCAGACTTTGCAGTTGGGCTGACTCCAGGTTTCATGTGACTTTAGAATTCAAAGGGATCTAGATATTATCTGATCCAACTTCATTCTGTAAGTGAGGAATTAGAGACCTAGAGATGGGGAAAGACTTACCCAAGGTCACATAATATCAGGATAGAGTAGGATGAACCCCTGAGTGTCCTAACTCCCAGCACAATGTGCTTCCCACAATATCTTAGTGTAGCTTTGAATGTGAGCCTGAGCAGAGAAAAGCTTATCCTTGGGCCAGTCTGGCTTTGCTACAAGGGGATTTTTGTAGGAGCTCCTATATCTAGGAAAGCTCATTCCTTACTATGTTTCTTACCTCCCATTTTTCTTTAGAATATTTAAGTTGCAATATGTAATGTTTGCAGAGTAAGGGGCTTGTACCAAAATAGAACTAATGCTTTTTGTGGGGTGGACAATATTTTTTGGTGATTTCTTTGTTACTGAACTTTTATGCTTCAGATATCATTTCTGTATAATCTAAATTTCATTGCTAGAAGACATGTTAGTGGTTTTTTTGTTCAGTCCTTCATTTTACACATGAAGATGCTGAGACACAGAAACAGAAACAGGACGATATCTATCCCAGATCACTTGGTGAGTCAGTGGCAAGGACAAGGCGCTGAACTTAGGTCTCCTCTTCATTCTAGTCCAAAATGACTTTCCTATAGAAGGCCAAGAGAGTTGTGCACACTCCTATTTATAAAAGGACTTCAGGGATCCTCAAAGAATCCCAGAACAGCCCATTTTTGTTTATCTTGCCTGGGCAGCATGAGCCTGTCCTACTCTGTATAAATTCTTTAAGCTGCAACCAGATGTTCTCTGTATTTCTCAGGAAGGAGGCTACCTGTTACTGTTCCTCCCAGGCAGGGACAAGCAACAATCTGCTGATCCATTAGCTTTACAAAATCATAAAATCTAACCACAGATCTGATATTTTTAAACCAGGAAAGTTTGTTTGTTTGTTTGTTTATTAAAATTTTTTTAAGTTTATTTATTTTTGACAGAGACAGAGTAGGAGCATGAGCTGGGGAGGGGCAGAGAGAGGGAGAGAGACACAGAATCCGAAGCAGGCTCCAGGCTCCAAGCTGTCAGCACAGAGCCTGACGCAGGGCTCGAACTCACAAACTGTGAGATCATGACCTGGGCTGAAGTCATATGCTTAACCGACTAAGCCACTTAGGTGCCCCGAAAGTTTTTTTTTATCACACCAAATTAAGTATAAATTTTAAATAATGGGATTATATCTCTAACAAGCAATTAATCTTTGTTCTGTTAATTACCCTATTGTAATTCTCTAGTGACTAACATTCCTGATGTACAGAAACAGATGCTTGCACCTGCCCAGAGGTTTGACACAGCATGAGCCTGCTACAGAAGGTATGAGACACCCGTAAGAGCTGATATATGATAGCATCCCACTGCAGGTGGCTACTCTCAACTTGGACACCAGAAGTAAATCTATTAGCCCAGAAACTCCCATTTATCCAACATCAGCCAGAATAGAAGTATTTTTACTCAAATTTTCAGAGCTCAAAAGGTATTTAGATCTATCTAATATTATAAGTGGAGAAACTGACATCCAGAGAAAGAATTGACTTACGAATGGTCACACTGTTTTAATTTAGTCATTTCTACAGAAATATTTCTCATACATTACGTTTCTAGCTTTCTTAAACAGCATGTGGAATACTGACTTACAAGTAACTGATTCTTGATGGTTCAGGTCCATTATTTTGAATATCAATCATGCTCCTATGCTATGATTCTGTGATATTCAAATGATAAGAAGAAAATGTGGGGTAATTTGCTTCTATACCAAATAATCCAAGCTGGTTTATCCTGTTTTTCCCTCCCCCACTCCTCTTCTTTCTTACTGAAGTATTTTGAGAATCCAATTACTTGGCTTCTGTTTGCAGTATAATCCCAGTGAGGCACTGATCTTTAGGAAAGGGGGTGATGATATCGAAGCCTAAGGTCGCAGGGAACCCAAGCCCAGAGGCTGCTTACTTACTTAATAATAGCAAGTAACTTGTATTGAACACTTATGATACACTATGTATGCTATATTTTAGGTTCTTTACTTCATTTAATTCTCATAATAACCCTAGGAGAGGGGTGCCATTGTCATCTCTCCTGAGCCACATATAAGTGTCTAAGGTCACAAAGCCAGTAAATAGAGGGTCCAGGATTCAAACTTGGGTAGTTCTCTCTTTAAAGCCCATACTCTGAAATCACTATTCTATTCTACCTGTCTAATTGTCTTAAGTATGATTTTGAAAGAAAGATTTCTGAGTGATTTTCATGTACAAGTAATAAAACTTGAACCCTAGAAAGGGTAGTAATTCCCACCCACCCCCCACTGCCCCAAATCACACAGCTGTTTAGGGGAACAGCTAGACTAGGATTCAGTTCTTAGATTCATTATCTCAAGTTCTTACCACTTCATTATGCAAAAATTCAGTGGGAAGAAAGTTAGGGGATATTTTTGCAAAGTGAGGTATCTCCTAGATGGGACTTAACACCCTCAGTCTTGCCTTTCTTGGCCCATTTTAGAGCCACAGGACCTGAGCCACAAAAGCTTCAGTGTGGATTTCCCACCTGAGGTTTGGATTCTGTCACTGTGAATGTGATTGGTCATGAGTCACACATGATAGTCAACTGAAGAAAGCTGTCTCTCTCCCTTAGAAAGGAAAGCAGATTTCTAGTTTGAGCTTTACCTTGTTACTCTCTTCCAGAATGAGGGAAGAGAATGACCCCCTCTTCTCTCTAGACCAACATATTTCTTTCTTTTTAAAATTTATTTATTTATTTTGAGAGAGAGAAAGACAGTACAGGGGAGGAGTAGAGAGCAAGAAAGGGAGAGAGAGAATCCCAAGCAGTCTCCATGCTGTCAAGCGCACAGCCCAACATGTGGCTCAATCTCATGAATCAAGAGATCATGAGTTGGATGCTTAATGGACTGAGTCACCCAGGCACTGCTAGACCAGCAGATTTCTGATAAACACCCTTCTTTCTCTAGAAATGCAGCAGAGCCCTCATAGACAGTAAACACCTGTTGAGAGGTCAGACCCAGCACCCCCTCAGAGACCCCTCCCATTTAAAAGTGGGAGTATCCCAAGTAAAATGGGCTATGGTTCCCCCAGAGACTTCAAGTTCAGAGAGAAGAGAGCCAATACTCCATTTCTGGACAGTTCTATAGCTGCTATTGCAGACTCCTAATGAGAAACCTCCTCCATCTTGGAGCCACCAAAGTCTAGAGCAGTGGGCTTGGGAATGGTTCTTGGTTCTCCCATGTCTCTTCCTGCTGCTTACCTGTGGCTGCTGGGTGGTTAAGGGTCTCTGAGGGGACAGGACAGGGGTCCTGGACAGCAGCTGGTTCATCTTGCTGATGACCAGTTCGGTGATAAGTTGTCTGTCTTCCACCTGGTGTTCACCAATCAGTGGCATACTACAGTCCATGACCTGGTGGAAGATGTAGCTCAGGTTAGGAAAGAGTCTGGAAACATCAAAGGCCTGGAATAGACTTTTAGAATGAGTAGGATGTAAGGCATCAGAGATAGGTTGGGGATGAAACTGGCATTCTTATCTTGAGCTGGAAGCAAGTTCTTTTGCAGAAATAGACCTGTGTCCCCTTCTCTGGCACCTTTGCCTAAGGTCCTCCCCACCAAACTTTACCCAGGCAAGGGCTCAGTGAGGTTGAAAGATTGGTAGCTGAAGAAGAGAGTATGGCTCTAGGGCTCAGAGGTTTGCAGGCAGGACACATGAAGGTCACTCCCTAACTTCTAGTTAAGAGTAGGCAGTTTTCGTCTCTGAGATTTTTCACCCATGCAGTTTCTGTCTCCACACATATTCTGCCCATTAAACAACTAGATTTCTGCTTTTGCTCATGACCTGGGATTCCTTCCCTTTCACCACCATCCTGATTCTTCCTGTACCTCAATGTCTGGATAAATGTTTTCTTCCTTTAGGAAGAGACTGCCTAACCAGGACCATAGACCCTGTAGTCCAGCTCTCATTTATGATGAGAAAACAGGCCCACCGAGAGAGGGGACGTATGATTATCCAGGACACTACATGCCAAGCAGATCATGGAGTAGATTCTGAAGCTCACTTTGGGGTCCTGACACAAATCCTCTGCAAACACCACCAACTCCTGGCAAGGAGCCTTTCCTGTTCCCAGAAAGATTGGGCAAGAAAGTGTATGAATAATTCGTACTGCTACTCACTTTCCCTTTAATATGGGAAAAGGGAGTCAGCAAAGTTGTGTTAGAGGACCAGGCTGAATAAAGTATCTCTAAGCCTCAGAGAGATGCTAAGAAGAATCTCCTGCATCCAGGAGACCTAAGCTCTAGCCCAGATTGAGACACCAATTCACTCCATGGCCTTGAGCACACGCTCATGGCATTGGGCTTTAGTTTTCTCATCTACAAAATGAGACTGAACCGAATGATTCCCAAGTCCAGCTTTCTAAGACCAAGAATGGTAAATCACTACAGTGTTCCCAGAGGAACAACATTAGACTAGAACTCCAGGAACCCAGACTTGGCATCTCTTACCCTTGATGTGGGTCAGCCTAGCTAGTTGCAAACAACAGCTTCCTACTGGTGAAGATGTTTTGCTATGCACAGCCATTGGACGTATTGTGTGGGAACCATCCCCTGGCCTCAGAGACTAAATGCGGTTTGGGCAGCCCACATAGTTCTCAAGCCAAGAGCGTGGCCTCCAGCTTTGGGGGGTGTCTCTTACTGAGATATTCCTTGGGCCAGACTTACCTCAAAAATGTAGTCTTTCCCATCTTTACCATGTACAGCTTTGACAGCACAGATATCCAGGCCACCAAACATCTCAGAGCAGGTATCCACCCACAGCTTGTACCTGGAGGTGATGGGAAGGTGTTCTGAGTCTGGGATGTTAGCTCATATCAAACCTGCTTGCTACTGCATGCTCTCCCTCCTGTCTCCAGCTCCCCCATTCCACCCCTCTCCTCCTTCCCTCCCTCTACCCCCATCAAGCACATTGCCTTCTGTAGAATGCCCTCTCACTTTGCTCTCCAGATCCCACCCATGTTTCCAGGCTCAAAGCAGGTCTCATATACTCTAGGTGGCCTTCCTTGGCTATTCCAGTACACAGTAACTGCTCCTTTCTTGGAGCTTCTACATAGTGTTCAGTCTTTATCTTCATAATTTAGCATATAACCCAGTCCTGCCTGATCTCATTACCTGGCTACTTTGGCCTTTGTGTTCTATCCTGATTAGAGGCTCCCTTTGGGCAGGAGTCACTTCTTTCACCTCTTCATCTAGGGAAGTTGGGCTGGGGGGTGGACAACTTCTCTCACTCACCTTTCTGACATGGCGATCTGCTCCAGCATTGCAGAGCCAGTGTTTGTCTTCCAGTTCCCTGAGATCGACGTCCTCCTGTAACAAGGTCCCACCAGGATAGGACAGGCAGTGAGCCGTACCAGCAAGATGGGGACATGAAACTTTCCAGAATTTTAGTTCACTGCTGCTTCCCCCACTTGCTTCTTGCCTCAGTAGCCAAGGCACCTTTCTGCTGAGCCTAGAAGCTGGCTACCTCTGCCAAACCCTGCCCTCAGTGTCCTCCTCCTCTCTATAGTCCAGCCCAGACTGCTGTGGCTCCAGGGAGGTTTCCCAGATCTTTTCCATCAGATGAACACTTACTTTCCCGAACCCCTAAAGGACGTTGCCTATACCTCACTTACAATCCTAGATCTACTTTTTACATTAGCTATTTGAGCTAAGTCTTATGTGTACAAGTCTATAAACCACTTGCAGCCTACCCACTTAGTATCTGGGCTGAGTTGGTATATACAGACTGAATTCTATTGATCTTGGGAACACTCTCAGGGTTCCGTGGCTTCCTTACTAGCTCACTTATTTATTCATTCAACAGTTAATTTCTGACAGTCTACAGTATTAACAATGCGACTCTGGGCAAGTCAGTTAACTTCTTCAGGCTTAAGTTGCCTCATCCATCAAATGCAACTGATAGAATCAAGTCACCGACCTGTGACTTCTCTGCTGTGCCCTCTGTACCCTCTCCATCCATGAGCAGGTATTAGAGTCAACTAGTCTTGGACTAAATTGGAGGTAGATGACCTGGTTTCTGTTCTGGATTTGCTCTTAACTGGCTGGGTGACCATGGGCAAGTCACTTCACTTCTCTGAGCCTCTTATCCCTGTATAAACACAGGTTTGTCATGAGGATCAATTGATACCGTTTTAAATGAATTGTGAAACACCAAAAATAGGCCTTCTTAATTATTAGTCCTCACTCATACAGAGTCAAGAGGAAGGGCATTGCCTAGGGGACAGAAAAGCCCTGCTCATACTACTGACAGAGCCATTCATGTGCTGCCCTTGTCACGTGCTACCGTTTGGAGACTGGATGCACGTGGCAGTCTCCACTCAGCAGTTCCCAGGAGTACCTTCTCCAGAGGTGGGGTCTCAGACACAGAGAAATCTAGACATATGGCTACTTTTCAGAGCCCTGAGGCAGCCTAGTTAGTTGACTGATATGGTAATACGAACCCCTCACATTTGTACAGTACTGACTACTTTCCAAGGCTCTTCCTCCACAACCCCCTCACCAGAGCCTCAGTGCAAACCCCTGTTGTGAGTAGGCTGACATCCTCACACCAACTTTACAGACAAGGAGATTAAGACTCAGAAAGGTTAAATGACTTGCTGAAGGTTATGTATCTAGTGAAATTAGACATCAGATAAAAAATCCAAGACTCTTGATTCCCTCATTGTGCTGTGCTCCCCCCATACCCCACGGACTAGTTCAGAAAAAAACAAACAACTAACAGCTGACTGACTTGCAAAATCTGAGTAGAGACACACATAATAAAATCATAATAAAATAAGATCATAATAAAAATAGCACTGTCTTCCTAACACTGGTGGTTTACGGGTGTGTCCCTGTGACCAGGCTGAGCTCAAGGGCAGGGGCAAAGAATAACTCACTTCCAGGTCCCCAGCACAGGGCCACGGTATAAATACTGTCCTGGAAACTGTGAGTAAGTAATAATGTCCCTTACACTTCACACCTTTCTCTAACAATGAGAATACAGGGCATAGATCCATACAGGCTACCTGGGACCTGGGGGAGTGTAAGGAGCACCCAGAAGCCACTCGGTGACAGCTCAACTACCTCTCAGGACTTGAAGGTCATCTGACCTCCACAGACAGATGCACATTATCGCCTACTGAGAATAGAGAGGGAACAGCACCCTCTTTTCACCAAATATGGCTGTCTCTGGATCTCTAGGGTGAGAGCTAAGGGAGAAGGGAAGACTCTTAAACCTTATTGTGGCTATTACCAGGTCAATTCCATCTGAAAGCAAGGGGATAGCTAAAAGCTTGGGGAAGAGGAGCTGCGAGGACCTGAATATTCACCTAAATCACTGCCCCTTGCAAATCAAAAAGTAAGTAAATGTTTTCTAAAGTTTCTTTGGTTGCCCATCCTTCATAAATATTAGAGGATTCTCTTTTCTTATGCTTCAATGAAAATGCTTTTGGAAACCTGAACCTTAAAAAAGTGGCAACTCCTTTTAAAGATCAAGGTACTCTTGCTCCACTGTCATAAACATTTTGTATTTATGTATTTACTTTTAAAAGTAAAGGATAGGAAATCTGCTTTCCTAGGTGCCTACACATATTGATTTTTCTGCTTCTTTTAGCTACTTTTTTTTTTTTTTTTTAATTTTTTTTCAACGTTTATTTATTTTTGGGACAGAGAGAGACAGAGCATGAACGGGGGAGGGGCAGAGAGAGAGGGAGACACAGAATCGGAAACAGGCTCCAGGCTCTGAGCCATCAGCCCAGAGCCCGACGCGGGGCTCGAACTCACGGACCGCGAGATCGTGACCTGGCTGAAGTCGGACGCTTAACCGACTGCGCCACTCAGGCGCCCCTTTAGCTACTTTTTATAATGATCTTTTAAATGATCTTGTCTTACATTGTGTACAATTTTAAAACAACCCTAAATTCCTTTCTGAAGCAGTAAGATTTTAAATAAAAAATTATAAACTTTTAAAAAGCAGTAATCTAGTCCAAACAAGTAAAAAAGATTCTGTGCTTCAGTCCTGTACAAGGGCTCTTCCCTGAGTACTTACTGGCTGCCTACTCTGTGCCTGCTGCTACACAAGCTGATGGGGTTGCAGAGATGGTTCCACTGTCCCTCCCCAGGGAGTTCAGAGGAGGGTGACAGGAATTCCTGTGTGTGAAGAGGGCTAAGCTAGAGGTGTGTGCAGCATTATGAGAAGAAGGGGGTGTAGGGAAGGGCTCCTAACTAATTCCAGGGGTGGGGAGTACAAACACTGAAGGGAGATAATGATGGAAGCACAGTGGAAATGGCTGGGCGAGGGAAAGGGAAGCTGCTCAACCTTAAAGTCTGCTCAAGTGCTGAGCGGCAAAGTCAAATCCAGGTTATAATGTTCTTGTCTGTAAAGGAAATACTATGCTATATTTATTAAAAAGTGAGAGGCTAATATTTCCAAAACTGGAATTATAATAAGCTATTTGCATTCTTATGTATATTATAGAAGATCAGGTCATCCTGAAATCTTTTCTTTCTCTAAATTCAAGTGGAGGAAACTTTTAACTTTCCATTCTGGCAAATGGACACAGTCATGTGGAGAAGTCATCTCTTCTCATAACCAATAAGCTTTTAATGCTCTGTAGTGTTTTCAGGGCTATATATTTTTATTAGGAGTGTCTTAACCTTTTCTGAGTTCTGGCAGCCTGGTGAAATCTATGGATTCCTTTCAATGTATAAAAAGGAATCCTTTATGTCTAAAGGAGCTAGAAAAGGAATAGCAAATAAAGCCTAAAAAAAGAGAGAGAGAGAGAGAGAGAGAGAGAGAGAGCACAGAAGAAGGGAAATAATAGAGATTAGGGCAGAAATAAATGATACAGAAACAAACAAAAAACAGATCAAATCAATGAAATTAAGAGTTGGTTCTTTGAAAGAATTAATATAATTGATAAACCCCTACCCAGACTTAAAAAGAAAAGAGAAAGCACCCAAATAAATAAAATCATGAATGAAGGAGGGAGAGATCACAACCAACACCACAAAAATACAATTATAAGAGAATATTATGAGAGGCGCCTGGGTGGCTCAATCGGTTAAGTGTCCAACTCTTGATTTTGGCTCAGGGTTCAAGCCCCGCATCAGACTCTGCACTGAGAGCATGGAGCCTACTTTGGATCCTCTCTCTCCCTCTCTTTCTGCCCCTCTCCTGCTCATGCTCTCTCGCTCAAAATAAATAAACTTCAGAAAAAAAAAGTAGAATATTATGAAAAATTATATCCCAACAAACTGGGCAATCTGGAAGAAATGGAAAAATTCCTAGAAACATACAAACTATCAAAACTGAAACAGGAAGAAATAGAAAACTTTAACAGATTCATAATAAAGTTAATCAATAATCAAAAATCTCCTAAGAAACAAAAGCCCAGGGCCAGATGGCTTCCCAGAGGAATTCTACCAGACATTTAAAGAAGAGTTAATACCTAATCTTCTCAAACTATTCCAAAAAATAGAAATGGAAGGAAAACTTCCAAATTCATTCTATGAGGACAGCATTACCTTGATTTCAAAACCAGACAAAGATCCCACTGAAAAGGAGAACTACAAGCCAATATCCCTGATGAATATGGATGCAACAATTCTCAAGAAGATACTAGCAAATCAAATCCAACAGTACATTAAAAGAATTATTCACCACAACCAAGTAGGATTTATTCCCAGGCTGTAGGGCTGGTTCAAAATTCACAAATCAATCAATATGATATGCTACATTAATAAAAGAAAGGATAAGAAACATGTGATCTCTCAATAAATGCAGAAAAAGCACTTGAGAAAATACAGCATCCATTCTTGATTAAAAAAAAAAACAAAACCCTCAACAAAGTACCTCAACATCATAAAAGCCATATAAGAAAGACCTGCAGCTAATATCATCTCAATAGGGAAAAACTGAGAGCTTTTCCTCTATGATCAGGAACAAGACAGGGATGTCCACTCTCACCATTATTATTTAACATAATACTGGAAGTCTTAGCCTCAGCAATCAGATAACAAAAAGAAATAAAAGGCCTCCAAATTGGCAAGAAAGAAGTCAAACTTTCACTATTTGTAGATGACATGATACTCTAGGTAGAAAACCTGACACAGTCCATGAAAAACTTGCTAGAACTAATACATGAATTCAGCAAAGTTGCAGAATATAAAGTCAATGTACAGAAACCTGTTGCATTTCTAAACACCAATAATGAAATAGCAGAAAAAGAAATCAAGGAATTGATCATTGCATCAAAAACAATTATATACCTAGGAATAAACCTAACCAAAGAGGTAAAAGATCTGTACTCTGAAAACTATAGAAC